TCAACAGCAACTCCAACTCCTGGGCTCAAGCGATCCTCCTGCCCTCAGCCTCCTCCCGAGTAGGGGATGGGACTACAGGCATGCACCACCATTGCCGGCTCATTTTTTCTATATATAGTTAGTTGGCCAATTAGATGTTCTTTCTGGTTTAGTAGAGGAACGGGGGTCTCGCTCTTGCCTTCAGGGTGGGTTTTCGAACTCCTCGACCTCAAGCAATCCGACCACCCCGGGCCTCCAGATGCTAGGATGGACAGGCGTGGAGCCAGCCGCGCCCGGCTCAGTTTCATTTTTCTACAAAAAAGAAAGAAAAAAGGAAAAATTAGCCGGGGCGTGGGTGGCCGCGTGCTGTAGTCCCAGCTACTGGGGGAGGCTGAGGCAGGAGGATCGCTCTTGGAGCCCAGGAGTTTGAGATGTCAGTGAACTCTGATGACACCATTGTATTCTAGCCTGGGTGACACAGTGAGACCCTGTCTGAAAAAAGGAAAGGAAGAAAGAAAGATTAGGAAAGAAAGAAAAGAAAGGGAAAAAAAAGGAAGGGAAGGGAAGGAGGGAGTTAGAAGGGAAGAAAAGTCATTTAATCCTGAGAGACTCATCTTAAGTGGATGCCCGTATGTATGTTGTCTGGGTCACAGGGCTATAAAAAGAGTCTATGGGTGAGAGATAATGTGGGGTAAAACACACACTGTAACTGCAAAGCACTATCAGGTATCATTAATATGTTAACTCACTTATAAATTCCGGCTAATTTTGGTGTAGTTTTCAAGGAGACTTTGATATGGTTTTAAGTCAGAAGTCAGGGTGTAGGGAAATGCGTCTCAAAGAATGCAAATTTCTAGTTCTCACTTCAAAAGGAATGTTCTTAACATTAATAACAGCTTACACTTAACGCAGCACTCATTATATGCCAGATACTATTCTAAGCACTAATTATTAGGTGCATTAACTCATTTAATCTCCCGATGATTCTACAGGGTAAGTATCATATTCCCATTTTATAGAGGAGGAAGAGGCGGCACAAAGATGTTAAATAACTTACCCAGGATCACAGAGCTCATAAAATACCATGCCAGGATTGGCATTCAAATTATTCTCTTTATCATTACGCTCTATTGTCTCTCATCAGCGACTGTAACAGTAACTACACCAAACCTTAATTGGGATTCCAATTCTGAAGACAATTTATCAAAAATTGAGTTGTAAATAGTTTACATTCTAAAATCAATCAATCGATCTCCATGCGTATTTAACACTGATAATCTGACATAAAACAAAGGCTTGAGAAGGCTTTAAAGTCCTATCTTAGTAATGCAAGGCAAACACAGAATTTCCATTTCACTTACTTGCTTCCACAAAAGCTTTCAAAGCTTCTAGTTGCTCTGCTCCGGATAACTGAATAGCTTTTTCCAAGATCTGACGATACCTAAAACAATATCAAATGAAAAGGATGCTCAGAGGGAACTGTATTTTCAAATGCAGGCTTGGAGGTTTATTCATTCATTTCTAACTTTGATGTGTATTTATTCATTTCTGTTTACCCTGGCTTCTTTAACAGTGTTCTAGTTTGTGGTTTTCTTTACAGTACACCACAGTTTTATCTGTTTGTTTGGGATTTTTCTTTTTCATTTTTTTTTTTTTTTTTTGAGACTGGGTCTTGCTTTGTTGCTCAGGCTAGGGAGTGCAGTGGCTTCATACCTTGCTGTAACCTCAAACTTCTGGGCTCAAGCCATCCTCCTGCCTTGGCCTCCTGAGTAGCTGGGACTATAGGTGAGCTAATTTTTTTATTTTTTTGTAGAGACAGGGGTCTCGCCATTGCCCAAGCTGGGCTCCATCTCAGCCTTCCAAAGTGCTTGGATTACAGGTGTGAGCTACTGTGCCCAGCCTTTTTAAGTTTTTGGTCCATCACAAGAAATACTAAATCTACAATTCTAAGGTGCCATTTCTTCTAGTTTTCAGTACAGTATACCAGAATTTTTTAAAAAATTTCAAGCCCATCAAAAGGAAGAGTGAATCTATGACTCCAAGTTACTCAATCTAAGGTGCCATTTTTTTCTCAAAAATTTTAGTTATGAATTTAAACTAAAAAGCCAATTTCCTCTCAAATGCCTTAAAAGGTAAGCTATATTTCCTTCAACTGTGTATTACACAGGCATTATTTAAGATGACCCAGGCCGGGTGCGGTGGCTCACGCCTGTAATCCTAGCACTCTGGGAGGCCGAGGAGGGCAGATTGCTCAAGGTCAGGCGTTTGAAACCAGCCTGAGCAAGAGCGAGACCCCGTCTCTACTATAAATAGAAAGAAATTAATTGGCCAAGTAATATATATAGAAAAAATTAGCCGGGCATGGTGGCGCATGCCTGTAGTCCCAGCTACTCTGGAGGCTGAGGCAGGAGGATTGCTTGAGCCCAGGAGTTTGAGGTTGCTGTGAGTGAGGCAGACGCCACAGCACTCTAGCCTGGGCAACAAAGTGAGAGACTCTGTCTCAAAAAAAAAAAAAAAGAGATGACCCCGAACCTTTTCCTCTTGTGGACCTAATGAATCCTAGAGTCACCAACGATAGGATAATGTTGACTAGGCAATGAAAGCAAACATTAGAGATTGTATGTTAATCTGTACAAAATAAACTCCACCAAGCCAAACACACTGATAGAACATCCTTTATGCTGTCAGACAGTACCTATTTATTCCTTATTTGCATTCAGTTCTAACAACCATTCTTCCTAATATCCATGACCACGTAAGATTCAAATGAGCATTTTAAAACGCATAGGAGGCCGGGGTTGAGACAGAGTCTCGCTTTGTGCCCAGGCTAGAGTGGACGTGCCGTGCGCCGTAGGCCTAGCTTCCCGGCAGCAACCTCCAACTCCTGGGCTCAACATCCTCCTGCCTCAGCCTCCTCCCGAGTAGCTGGGGGACTACAGCGGCAGCACCACCATGCCCGGCTGCATTTTTCTCTATTAATTATAGCTTGGCCAATTAATTTCATTTCTATTATATAGAGACGGTCATCGCTTTGCTCAGGCTGGTTTCGAACTCCTGACCTCAAGCAATCCGACCAACCCCGGCCTCCCAGAGTGCTGAGGGATGACAGCGTGAAGCCACCGCCGCCCGGCCTCAGTTTCATTTTTCTACAAGAAAGAAAAAGAAAAAGAAAAATTAGAGCCGCGGCGTCGCGCGCTGGCGTTGCCCTGTTAGTCCCAGCCTACGGGGGGGCTGATGGCAGGAGGATCGCTGAGCCCACGGGTTGGAGATTTCAGGTGAACTCGTGATCGAGCACCATTGTCATTCGTAGCCTGGGTGACACAGTGAGACCCTGTCTGAAAAAAGGAAAGGAAGAAAGAAAGATAGTAAAGAAGAAAAGAAGACAAAAAAGAAGGGAAGGAAAGGAGGATTAGAAGCGAAGGAAAAAGTCATTTCAATCCTGAGACTCATGCTTAAGCGGATCGCCCGTGATGTCATCGTTTGTCTTGGTCACAGGGCTTAAAAAGGTCTATGGGTGGAGAGATACATTGCGGGTAAAACGACACACGTTAAAAAACTTGGCCAAAAAGCGACTATCAGGGTATCATTAATATTGTTAACTCACTTAAATTCCAGCCTCAATCTTTTGGTGTTACGCTTTTCAAGGAGCACTTTGATATGTTTCCCACCTTGGCCTCCCAGAGTGCTAGGATTATAAACATGAGCCACTGCGCCTGGCCTATTTTTACCAATTTTTAAAAAGTTTTCTAAAGAGTAATATTTGGGTCATAAAATCAGACCTTAATCTATGAGCAAGTGTCAGCTGGAGTTGCAGAACCCTAACATTGACTTGATTTTGCAGTGCAAAATGCCCGTCTGGCACATTGTTTTGTCAGACATGAAATCGAACGGTTATCTCCTTTAAGGATTGGATGACGCCTGACTCTCAAAATCATTGCTATTTCAAGTTCAAAGACCACTGCCCCTCGGATTTTTACCTGCTCCTCGAATGAAATGACTCTAGGCTGGATCTTCTCCAAGGTGAAATGGTAGGTCTCTTTGGCTGTGCTGTCGGGCAGGTTAGGGAGATGCGTGCAGAAGTCGGTGAGCAGCTGTCTGGAGATCACAAGACTGACATTCTCGTTCACCACTTGTTGGAAAAAATGAGAGATGAGAAAACAGGAGTGACGTGAATGCTTTCATTAAGCAATCAATCTTTACCTGGAATTAATACTAAAAACGATCTATACTGGTGCAGCCTTCAATGCATTATTCGTTTTTCATCATTTCATTTTTCTTTTTTTTTTGGACAGAGTCTCGCTTTGTTGCCCAGGCTAGAGTGAGGTGCCGTGGCGTCAGGCCTAGCTCACAGCAACCTCACTCTGGGCTTCAAGCGATCTCTGCTCCTCGCCTCCTTCGAGAGCTGGCGACTACAGGCACGTGCACCTGCCCGGCTCATTATTTTTCGTTATAGATCTATTAGTTGTCCAATTAATTTCTTTCTATTTATAATTAGAGCACGGTGGTTCTTGCTCTTGGCTCAGGGCTTGGTTTCGAACTCTGACTTGAGCATCCGGCCCGCTCGGCTTTCGGGAGGTGGTAGGATGACAGGCTGAGGCCACCGAGGGGCCAGCTCTCATTTACATTTTTCTCAAAAAGAAAGGAACATTAGCCGGCATGGTGGCGCATGCCATGCTTAGTCCCAGCTACTGGAGGGAGCTGAGTGCAGCGGGTGATCGCTTGAGCCAGGAGTTTTGAGATGGTCAGTTGATCTGATGACCACTGTACTCTGCTTGGGTGACACAGCTGACCTGCTCCTGAAAATAGGAAGAAAAAGAAAGAAAGAAGATAGAAGAAGAAAAGAAAGGAAAAAAAAGAGGGAGGAAGGGAGGAGTTGGAAGGGAAAGAAAGCATTTAATCTGGGACTCTTCTTAAGGGGGATGCCGTTATGTTATGGTTGTTGTCACAGGGTTAAAAAAGGATGTCGTATGTGGAGCTGATAATGTGGGCTAAAACCACACTGGTTATACTGCAAGCCACTATCAAGGTATCATTAATATTGTTACTTCACTATAAATTTCCAGCCTCATTTTGGGTAGTTTCAAGAGCTTTTGATTTGTTTTAAGTCATGGGTGTAGGGAACATGCCGCTCTCATAGAATGGCAATTTCTAGTTCTCAACTTCAAGGATGTTTCTTAACATTAAATACAGCTTCACTTAACGCGCACTCGATTTATGCAGTTCTTTCTAAGCACTAATTATTTAGGTGCCATTAACTCTTTCTCCGGGTGGGGTTAATGTTAGAACATTCCTTTGAAGTGGGACTAGCATTTGCTCTTTGGAGGCGCATTTCCCTACACTGACTTAAAACATATCTAGTCTCTGATAACTACCCAATTGGGCTGGAATTTATAGTGAGTTAACAATATTAATGATACCTGATGTTGCTTTGCAGTTTACAGGTGTGTGTTTTTACTCCCATTATCTCTCACATGATCTTTTTATGCCTGTGCCAGACAACATCATACGGGCTCCCTTAAGATGAGTCTCAGGATTTAATGACTTTTCTTTCTTCTGGACTCCTTCCTCTTCCTTCCTTTTTCTTTTCCCTTTCTTTTCTTTCTTTCCTATCTTTCTTCTTCCTTTTCCTTTTTCGACAGGGATCTTCACTGTGTCACCCAGGCCTAGGAGTACAGTGGGTGTCATCAGGATTCCCCTGACACTCAACTCCTGCGGCTCAGCGTCCTCCTGCCTCAGCCTCCCCAGCTAGCTTTGGGAACACAGGCATGCGCCACCGATTGCGGCTAATTTTCCTTTTTCTTTTGGGGCTGAAAAATGTAAAGGAGACTGGGTCTCGGTGGCTCATGCCTGGCTCATCCTACCACTCTGTGGGGCCAGAGGGCGGGCGGATTGCTCTTAAGGTCGGAGTTCGAACCAGCCTGGCATAGAGCAACCCCGTCTCTATTATAATAAAAGAAATTAATTGGCCCAACTAATTATTATGGAAAAATGGAGCCGGGCTAATCAATTGGTGGCACGTGCCGTGTCCCAGGCTACTCGAGCGGCTGGTGCAGGGATCGTTGAGCCCAGGAGTTTGAGGTTGCTGTGGCTGGTGACGCCACGGCACTTTCTAGGCCTTGGGCCATTAAGCGGCTCTGGTCTCAAAAAAAGAAAAATGAAATGATGAAAAGTAATAGTGCATTGGGAAGGGCATGCACCAGTATAGATCGTTTTTAGTATTATTCCAGGTAAGAATTTGTTGGCTTAATGAAAGCATTCCGCTCACTCCTGGTTTTTTTTTCTCATCTCTCTTTTTTCCAACAAGTGCGTGAACGAGAATGTCGTCTTTGTGGATCTCCAGGGGCTCACCGACTTCTGCACGCATCTCTCCCATTTAACCTGGCTAACGGACAGCACAGCCAAAGAGACTCTACCATTTCACTTGGGAAATCCTAGACCTAGGGTCATTTATTTCGAGGAGACAGGGTAAAATTCCACGAGGGGCAGTGGTCTTTAGAACTTGAAATAGCTCATTGATTTTGAGGTCAGCGCGTCATCCATCTCTTAAAGGAGTACGTTGATTTCATCGTCTGACAAAATAGTGACCCCAGCGGCAACATATTTTTGTCCTGCATAAATCAAGTCAATGTAGGTTCTGCAACTTTCCAGCTGGACACTTGGGTCTCTAGATTAAGGTAGCATATTTATGACCAAATTGTTACTCTTTGTAATCTTTTTGTAACATGGTAAAATAGGCCGGGCGAATGGTGGCTCAATGTCATATAATCCTCGCACTCTGGGGGAGGCAGGCAGTGGGCGCGGCGGACTTGGTTCAACGGTCGTGACTGTTCAGGACCAGCCTGAGCAGAGTCGAGCCCGGTCTCTACTAAATATAGAATTATTAATTGGCCAACTAAATATATAGAAAAAGTTGGCCAGGCATGGTAGCGCTCTTGACAAATATTAGTCCCAGTCTACTGAGGGCTTGAGGGCCAGGTGGGAAATCAGCTTGAGCCCAGAGTTCGGAGGTTGCTGGGTGAGCTAGGCTGATGCTCAATGCTCTTCACTTCTAGCCTGAGGCACAAAGTGGGTAACTAGTATCTCAATACAGAAGGAAATAAAAAAATTGAGTAAAAATAGTCGAAGACCTCACAGGTAAAACCTTTCTAGCACATGTATACGTAACTTAAAGCAAAATTATAATATTAAACTGCAATATATTGCCATCTCA